TCCAGTAGCAGAGCTATCAGTCTAACGCGTCGTTCTTGTCTGGTGGAATTTGTAAATTCGCTCTTTCTTTTTGCCACGTGACTGTGCAAATGTTAAGTTTTCTTCAAACATAACTGTAGTATTTGCGACTGCTCGCTCGCTCATCCTTTAGTCACTTTGCATAGCTCAATTTTGTTTATATTTTGCTTCGTTGAGTTTTTTGCTTTGCATACTGTTTATCTAAGCTCACGTTTTTTACTAGTATCTTAGCATTTTGAACGTGATTTAGAATTTACATTGACTGAAATGCGCTATCTTTTCTCTGTGCTCACCCCCTGCTTTTGCAAGTAAATTACGGTTTGTCACCCTTTTGCTCCAGCTACCAATTTTCATATTTTCCAGTTCAGTGATTCCATTTGGTCTTTCGTTTTGTTTTATAGTTTTTATGTTTGACATATTTTATGGATCCTTGCTTCTTCCTCTAACTCAATATATACATATTGAAGCGCGCAATATGGTAGAGAATTGTTTTGGGAGCAATATAGGAATATATTTTTTTGTACATTTTCAGACGTTTGCTACTATTTATCAGTAAGTAGACCAACCTATGCTTGAAAATTTCTAAAAAAACCCTCATCAATACCATATCACAATCTATATTTTAATTCATTGACTCAATACTAAACTACTTCGATCATAGTTATGCCTTGAGAAATATTTATTTTGGCCTAGGGTACCTGTGAATACCCAATAAGCAGCCACTGACCAAGAGTGACAGGAGAAGGGTTCTGCTTAAAAGTTCTGAAACATCCTATGAATCTCCGGTGACGAGGTGAATACATGCCGCCTCGAAATATGTATCCACAACCCAAAAAGGGCTGCCTCGAGGAAACACCTACCCATGAGAGGGAGGCAACAAATCGACGCGGGACTATGCGACGGAAGCCGTTATATAAAAATTTCCAATTGTTATGCTCAGCCGGGGTCATAGCTGGGAGATAGTCAATGAGCTGCAAAGACAAACTTAGGTTAGCTGTAAGCTGTGAGTAACCCACGACCATGAGCACAGCAGAGACGGCAAACCAAGAAAGCAAGCAACAAAGTAGGAGCAAGATTTTGACAAACGATTTGGAAGATAAGTTCAAGGGCAACTTGTGGCGGCAAATATACCACATTAACGAAAGGCGTATACATTAATTTTTATTTAGCTTAGTCAGTGATTAAAATGAAAGGGCCTTAACACAAAGTTGAGACTTGGCGTGTACGCAAAATTGTAAGAACAAATTTTAAATCACAAAAAAGCAATTATACCCTTTAAAAAAGAACAAAGAGCAGCTATTGTAGACTAGATAGAATAATTGCTGACCAACAAAAAGTATATTTAAATGCAACTAAAATGAAAAATACAAAATAACCAACCCAGCAGGCAAGATTGAAAAAAGAAGTAAACACCGAGAACAAAAGCGGGAAATTAAATAGCAAATTACCCGCCAAAACAAACCCAACAAATTAAAATCGAGAAAAAATAAAAATATATAAAAAATAAGACAAACACAAAAACACAACATGAGTTCTAAGAATAAAGACAAAGAGCATGTCAACAAATAGTAGCCTTGGCTTACACAATGAGGAAAACAAAACAAAAGCTCAAGATAACCAGATGCCTGTGGCAATAAGCGCGAGCAAGAAATGAACTCGAAAACCACTTTAAAAAAAGTAAATAAATTTGAACCGCAAGCAATATGTAGTGCTAAGAAAACCTAAGACGAATATCAAGAAATGAAGTAATGAGAAAAATATATGTAAGATGAGAAATAATACAGATAATTGTAAAAGAAATGTCTATCTACAAACACATTTGTATGCCGACATTATGTTGGAGAGCCGCAAAGCTCAAGATTTCATATCAAAGACAATACTCTATAGTATATTACGTTAAGGTTGACAGTTTCTCACACACATCTACAATAACGCTGGCCAGACGCAAAACCTATTCACTTCATTAGGCAATTTATTTTCGGACGGTATAGAAAATGTAGGTATTAAGGAAAGCTGGCAAGATGCTTGATGCACGGATGCATCTTCGTTTTGTTCTTACACTTTTTTCTACAAATTAGCCGGGGGTATATATAATTAGCAAAGATGTAATGGTGTACAAAAAAACTCTTAAAAAATTAATTTTTACGGCTATCGTAGTAAGAAAAGCATAACAAAAATTATGAGATAATAACCAATGTTTGTAATTTTGCAGTCATCAGGCATGTTTTAATACAATATAGACCAATCGGACTCCCTTCATATTTCTTAAAATCGATTATTTTAAACTAAGTTTTACGCGAGAAAGTATACATTAATTATTTTTCGAAAAAAAATGTATTACCCACTTTCTAAAATGCGATTTCTGCATTTAGGTGCTGAGGAAATAAGTATAATTTTTCGAATGCCAGCATTTATGATATTTCGAAAGAATATTTCGTGTTTTAAATATTACTTGCTTAATGTACTTAAATGCTTTGCCTACTTTTGGGAGCGCAAAGAATTTGATTAGAATACGCTTTTAGCTTCTAAAAACAAACAATATGTTTTTATTAAGAACTGCTGATAAGTATTACGTTGTTCAATATCCATAGCCTATAGCTGTCATGCAAACTGAGCGTTAAAAATTTAGTTCTGGTACGAAAAACTTGCTTATGTGACATGATATCTTCACGAAATTCGACATAGAATATTATCGCAAGCAACGCTATAATATCTCAAGTAAGTTTTTGATATCGGACTACTATATAAAATAGCTGCTATACAAACTAAATGATCAAAACCAAGCTCTTGTATAAAAACTGCGTAATTTGTGAATATTAAAAGAGAACTGCTTACATTTTAATTGATATTATATTTCTTTTCTCAGCATTTCTACAAGTCAAACACGCTTTTTTTTCAGTTCTTCGCTTTTTATAGATTGATTACTCGACAGCATTAAAATGTAGCTTTTTGTAATGAACAGTTTCATGAATATTTTACGTTAGCTTTAGCCAAGCAAATTACTGTCAAGTTCCTTTAACACACTTTCTCTTTTTGCTTTACAATAGCTACTTTATTTATTTCCTATATACTTACAGATTTATTTCTGCACATTTCTTTTGGTTTTTATCTCTAATCGCTTTTGTCACTTATTCTTTTCAGAAATAAATGGGCGATTGTCTCAATTGATATTGATGACTATATGCTTTGCTTCCGTTTCAGGCGTTCCTATCCCAGTGCTCTCTTTAGTTCGCTTTATTTGGGTTCTAACGACTCTTTTCGTCTTTACTAAGAAATCCACTTAGCTGCTTTCTTACATGTTTAATACCTATAGTATATTCCATTTTTCATGTTAACGAAAATATTTTATTCGTTTTACCTTTTAATGTCTTATTTTATATTTTTTACTATGCTTCGTTCGTTCGTAGCTTTTGTTGCTTTGTTGTTGCCAGTTTACTTTGTTTGATGAAGAAAAATCTCTTACTGACCCACTGTTGTAATTCATTTTATTTTAAAAATGTTATATCTTCTTGTAATATTTGTAAACCTTTCACACCTTCTAGCTCCTGTTCAGCTTTAAATAGCCGATTATTTTCGTGTCTTTGAGTACGAGTATAAAATTTATTAATTTTAAGTACTTACTATAGAGTTCAAAAGCAGTATTAAAATTAAGCATTTTCTATTTACTAAACTAATACAAAAGTTCAGTTTTTATATTCTGTTTGATATATATGATATATATAGTTTGGGTTTGATTGGAAAATGGCCACAACCCTTCTGCCTGATGCCTTCGGTAAAACGAACCGTCTCGTTTTGTACGCCATCGAAGCGATTTAGCTTCATAACCATAGATATCGCTGAAACCGTAGATTGTTTCAAGCGAAGTCCATTCTGTGTATAACTTCTGAAGTGTCTCCCTGTTGAGGCAATAATAAGGGAGTAGATGTGTGCATTTTTAAGTCTCGATTGAGTTGAGAATATATTTTTTAACATAAAATGGCGCATCCACCATAGTGGCTTGAAAATCTGTACAATTTTAATCAGCTGAGTTCTCCCAGCTTTGAATTCTAAATGAACAGAACGGTCTTTACGAGTAGCTTGTTCTTAAGACTGAGGCGGAATCATAACCTTAAGAGCCAGTATAGCTGCACAAACTTTAACCAGAGCTGAGTTCTCTTGATTTTCACGTGGTCTCTCCATGTTCGTTTCTTATCAATTGTAAGTCCCGGATATGTTGAGCTAGTGCTTGTTGGTAGCAGCTAACCTTATAAGGCCACTTGAGGATATATAATATATTGTGGCTGAGGGTATACATACACCATTTGTATGGAGTATGGAGGTGCAGCAATAGAATTGCTACTCAATGCCAGCACTGCAATGTCAGCCGCATAGGTTATGCTGTAACTGTGGCGTCTAGAGCAAAGGCACAATAACGCTGACTTGATTAGATTATGATTATGGAAATATGATTTCAGCAGCAGCTAGTCAGGCATGGACAGTTTTTCTTTTAACTAAAATAATAAGTTTAAGTGCCTGACGGACATCAAGGAATACTGCAGAACAGTAGCTGCAATATTCCATGACATCAGTTATAAAGTGTTCTAAACTGTGGCATTGCTCAATTGTGCAATGAAACATAATTATATATTTTCTAGTAACTCCGAAATCTTAAATTTGTAATCCTAACGGGTAAAATGCCGCTCATAACCTCTTTTATATATTGGGTCTTCATTTTTCAACGAACGCTAAACGAAAACTACGCAACCGATCATAAAACTTTTTTTTACTGATTGACAGCGGAATTGCCAACTATCAAATAACAAAATGTGTTTTACATTTGGACTACGCCAGCAAACCTAAAAATTCAACTGAAACCATCTATGAGTGCAATTACTTAGTTACCCAATATATAGTTGCTTATCGTTATATTTAATAAACAATAATTTTTAGTAACAATTAAATTTAATGTATCACTCTAAATAAACTTCTTTTTCTCTTTTCAGCATAACACCGTTCCAAAACATTAAAAATCATGGCAATACAACAGCTTCACCAACAACAACGACCACAGCAGCGAGTGTTAACAAGTTTCGAGATAAAACTCTATTTTTACAGATAAAAATTTTTTAAACAAATTTTTGTATTCGAAGTGGCGCTAGTCGAAATTACTAAAAAAATATATGAACTCTAAAAAAACACAGCCAAACTAAGACAAATTGCTTTCCTTGCCACAGCTGAGTAGCATCTGAGCCAAAATGTGCTCGACAACACAATTTTGTTTGCTCAACCTGCGCACATATTTAATTTATTTATGCTGCTACCTGCTTATAATGGTGGCGGCCGGTAGTCGTGTGGTTGACGGCTTAAAGTGTTATTGTAATCCAAAAGAATGTGATGTCATACGATCGCTGGATTGTCCAGGCAAGGGTATGATGCTGTGGGATCCTTGCAAGTGAGTAATTTTTTATCTCAAAAATATAATTTATTTAAACTTGATTTGGCTAAGTAATTATTTTACTGATAACCACCTACATAATAATTCAACACAACACCGTGGTATACCAAAAAAAACTATTGAAAAATCAAATTATAAAAAAAAATTTGTGAATTTTTGTAAGTATCAAAGTCGATGTCAGAAAAGTGGAGAGTTTATTCTCATTGAAAAAAAAGGAAATGAGAGATATTTGTAGAGCAGCGCCATCTATTGACATATTTTTATTGGTTGGATTTGAGTTTAATTTTTATACCCTGAACAGCGTATGCTAAGTTCACCACGATGTTTGTAATACCCAGAAGGTAACGTCGAAGACCCTATAAAATATATATATAAATGATCAGCATTACGAGATGAGTTGATTTAGCCATGTCCGTCTCTTTGTCCGTCGATCTGTTATTATGTCTACATATACGCGAACTAGACCCTGAATTTTTGAGATGTCGATGTTAAAATTTGCCCACGTCCTTTATTTTCCAAGAAGCTGCGCATTTGTCAAAACCTCCGAAATCGAAACACTATAACATACTTGTATATCTGCCATAAAAACTGTATGATCGCAATCGGAAGTGCTTATAAATTGTGAAAATCTTTTCGAGGTATCCTCACGAAGCTTTGCATGGATTATAGTCTAAGGCAATAAAATAAAAATTATTGAGATGGGATCACTATAGCATATAGCTGCCATACAAACTTTTCGATCGGAATCAAGTGCTTGTAAAGAATCGTTTGTATGTGATAGGTTATTATAAAGCTTGGGATACAACCGAAGTTAACGTTTTCTCATGTTTTCTTAAATTTTTAAACAGTTTTATTTTATTTATTAATTTTATTAAAATATTGTGTTTCAACTTTAACTTTAATATTAGTGTGAATGCCTTAAAATTTTACTTCAATTGCCTCTCGTTTCAGATGTTGTCGCATTTGCGCAAAAACACTTGGCGAAACTTGTGGCGGCCCGGGTGGATTCTCCGGTCAGTGTGAACCACCGCTACAGTGTGTCACAAAATTGCCCATCAACAGCGGTCTAGGCGTTTGCATGGGTGAGTTAACTGATAATATATAAAAATTAAAAATTTTTGGGTATTAAATGTCATTGATTTGGGAAAATGTTTAATTATAGTTCGTTTAGAATAAATCCACCACTAATTTTGACAGAAAAAGTTGCCTAAATGAATTCGTGGCACACTGCCGAGCTGACAGTCTTTGCTCGAATATAAATCCGAGTCCGTTTAAATTAATCAATAATGTTATTATAATCTAGTGTTCTTAATATAGTTCACAACTGAGTGAACTTTGTGATTTTGCTATTTAGTCGCAACTATCCACATTTTCCACATAAAGACCTTAAATTACTTATGAGATTCATTAACAAGTTTTTTGGTTGCTAAGTATTGATGTCACATGGAAAACAATATATTTGCTGAGAGGCAGCAATTACTTAAAATTAAGTAATTAATTATATGTGTATCAGTAAATCATAGATGCATATAAATCATTGAGAGAAGAATAAAACGAAATTGCGGCAAACTTAAAGATCTTCCATAATATTAGATTTATATTTAATACCTATAATATTTAATATAATAATTTATTTCATACCTATAGTATTTAATATAATAGGTATTATATATAAATCTTTTATTATATATATGTACATTGAGTATATAAAAATTATTGTTTTTCGAGTACAGTGGAGCGAGAAATATTCAGCTGTAAGCACGTAACTATTCCCAATTCATTCTCTTAATATTATATTTATTTCTGTTACCATATACTTACTCCCTTTACACTTGTGGTGCGTGTGATATATATTCAATGCCATCATCAGCTACTTTATTCGTTTAGGCCTTGAACGCAAAAGTGACAAGATATTAATTAGTTATCTACTTTCACAGTTAAAGTTGGCCATGAGTAATTCACGAAGTGAATAAAATGCCGAGGTGAAATTTGTAATTCCTCTGAAATGCTAGTGTATCACAATATATTACTATGTATGTGTACTAAATAATTATTTGCGGTTTTAGCTAGAAATGTGGCACGTGTCAATATTTAATCAGCAGTTAATTAAAGCTAGAAATAAGTTTTGCTGGATGAGCAAATAAAGTTGTGGCGTAATTAGAAAGGTGCTTGAGCAGATTATTGGAATTTGGTTCAGATAAAATATTCTGCGAAATATCAATATAGGTTATTCATTTATAATATACAATATAAAAAAGCAACAAGAAAAACGTTAACTTCGTTTGCACCGCAACTGTAAAACCTTCACAAATATCTACAAAACTTTCTATACCAGAACAACTTTTTGATAGGTCAGTTTGTATGACAGCTATGTGGTATAGTAGTCCGATATTGGCGGTTCCGACAAATAAGCAGCTTCTTGGAGAGAAAAATACATATTCTGTGTATTAGTTCGGCAGTAATTATTTTGAAAAATATGTAACTTTGCTCGCATTACAGTCGTGATTGGCAAACATAGTTTTAACCAAGAGTAATATAAAAAGAAATCACTACAAATGTGTCACATAAATATTCAACTGTCCACTGCGCCAATTTGGTTCAAGAGTTGATTTCTGCCGCTAAAGCAACAATAACAAAAACAATTACGTAAAATGCGGTCTATTTAAACTGCTTTAAATAGAAGACGGTTTTGAAAAGCAGATTATTGCTAAAGGTTGTACATGCTATCTCTTGCAGACCATTTTGGAAGACAGCAGCAGTTCTCAAGAGAAAGAAAAGAAAATATTTTTTATGCACAAGAATTATATAAAAATCATAAATACATACATATATATATATATATATACTTAATCTTCTTAATTTGCTGTCTGCTTTTAACTGCCGTCAAAAATCGAATACAAAAGCAGCGTGGAAGAACATCACTTGCCACTTTGGGGCCATTTGAAGACCTTACACAGTCAAGCATGCGGGCTTATACAATTTTGCGGTTTGCTTATCAGTCTACAATATTATCGAGCTGATGTAGTAGTGCGTTGACAAATCGTATTGTTGCCACAAAACTTTGCAAGTTTAAAATTCTAAACTACTGTCTTCGACAGCATCGTTTCTTATTGTTAAATATAAATACCTATATACACTAAAGACAACCACACTTGAATGTGCAACAAAAATAATTTCTTTGTGGCATGTAGGCTTGATGTCAATGCAAAGTAAGGTAATAAAGGCGACATTACCGCCACCACAGCCCCCGAGAAAGCAGTTAAAAGTCACTTTTGTGTTGTTTTTGGAAAACGTGTCTTTGCCTCAAGCATTTCAAAGTCAACTTTTGTCAATGATTGCTTAAACATGCGGGTATTTTTTTGTGTGCGCGCCACATTTACATTATATAAATTTATATAACGACATATAAATCCACACACACATGCTTACATTCAAGCAAAACGTGATTCCACCACTTCTTGTGCTGTGCGTCTTTTTAGCTTCTTTGGGCGCTGCTGTCGTTTAGTCAGCTTCCTTTGTTTATTCTCACCCGCAGTTCGGGTTTCGCTCGCAGTGAAATTTTGCATTTCTTTAGCTTTGTGTGTGGTTGGCTTTGTACTTTTTGCTGGTTTTCTGTCATCGTTGCCTAATGCTACCGTTACTTAAGTAGGGTTACTTGAGAGTATTCCCAAAATATTCATTTGCGAAAAATATGGCCGCAAATCAGTTAGGCATTAGCGCTAACGCAATAATATTTTAAGCGCGATTCGCTGAAAATTGTTTTGTTGTGCTTTATTTATCTTTTCTTGAGGGACAAACAAATTTTGTGGCATAAAATTTATTTTGGTTCAGTGAAAAACGCATACACTCTCTTTTTAGTCACCTCGCTCTATCGTTCTCGCTGCGGCCTTTATCTCTCTCTCGCGCTCTCTCCACTTTTTGAATAACAAAAAAAATTGTTAACCAAAAATGTCCACTTATAGTATGAAGAGTGCTGCTTTCTTGTAAAGACACAAGCGATACCAATGCCTTGTTATACCTTTCATGTTAATAAACCGATTTCATAGCGAAACGTGTCTTTTCTGGACTATAACTTTATACATGTATACTTTTTATTAAGCTTTGATGACTTTCGATATAAGAGAAAAAATTGCCGACAGCTACACCATTTATAAAACGACAACTACTCGACCAGCTTTTTTCAATATTTGCTTTGTAAAATTTCAAAACTTTATCTTTATTTGGAACGGTCAGTTTGTATGGCAGCTATATGCTATAGAGGTCCGATCAAAACAATTTGTTCGGAGATTGTATTATTTGGATAATAATCCATGTCAAATTTCGTGCAGATATCTCGTCAAATTAAAAAGTTGTCCATACAAGGGCCTAATTTTGATTGTTCAGTTTGTATGACAGCTGCTACATATATATATATTATAGTAGAACGTTGCAAAATTTCAGGGCGATATCTCAAAAACTAAGGGACGAGTATATATAGACAAACGGACATGACTAAATCGACTCAGCTCATCAAGCTGATCATTTATATATAGTCTAATTTATAGGACGTTTCCTTCTAGGAGTTACAAACTTAATACCCTGTACAGGATATAACAAGTAGACGTATTGCGTGTAATTTTTTCGAATGACCAATTTTGAAAGTTCTGCGGTACAGCACGTCATGGATATGGTCAGCAACGGCCATACATGTAGAATGGATGCTTGTCGAATATTTGTATGCTAAAATTTGTATTCAGTGTAGTATAACTGTACAATGAATAAAGTTAACTAGAAGTGTTGTAGGTTCCGAACTCGATCCGAGAAACACTAGCCTCACGATATACAAAAGGTCTTAGTAATACTGAATTCAGAAATTGACCTGCTGTTGTTAACAACGAACGATTTTAACTAAAAAGGCGTGTGAATATAAAGCGGAATGATCAAGTTTAACTGCGTGACCATTTAAAGTGCGTGCTCAAGCCAAATCGATAAAAAAAAATTTCCAGGAGTGGTACTACCTCTTTGAAGTTTGATTTTCATATGTAAGTATGTGTTTGTATATATGTGTATATTAAATATATGTCCAAAGACCACACAAACCTTTGTTTATACGTGCCTCGGTTATTTTGCTCTCAATAATCTTAGCCATGCCCTTCAGCCCATATCTTTACACTAACTAACTAACTAGTTGAAGCAGCGCGACCAAACTGCGGCTACATACGCATATACGCATGCACGCATACTACTATGAATGTATACCATCTGCTTGAGTATGTGTGTATTGAGAGCTAGCTTAGTTTGCTATCTAACATTTGCTAAGTGGCTTTCTACTCTACTTGCACGCTGCCTTTCAGCACACAACCTTCACACATCAGCAAGCGGCTACTCGCCACTTAAGTGCGGCTTACACTAGTCGCAGGTATATAACACACACAGACAACAAGTATAAAGTAAAATTACTGCGATTTTGTATGGATATGTGTGTATGAACTTAGAGAAGCGCTGACTGCACATATATTCATGTAAGTCTATAAGTATTTGTACTCAGATATGTGTGTATGTGCTTACTTTGTTTACCTTTTTAAGGTTATATGTCTGTAGCTGCCTTATATCTGGGTGGCTGGCGCAGGCAAAGTGTGGTTTAGTTTTCATCGACATCGTCATCGCCATCGTGGTCGTCAGCGAAAATCGTTTAGACGTTAAGCAACGCTGCTAAAGTTGCCACCAACAACTTTCCACAAATTTTCCTCTTAGCTATTGCTACCTATATGTTTTCATCGTCTTGTTGTTAAGCTACGCTGCGCGTGTGAATTGATTGGCAGCAATGGCATACAGAAATGAAGTTTAATGTCGTCCAATTGAATTGATGGGAAAATGTGCACACACACACATACCGCCTTGTTTACTTACATGTGTATGAATAAATATTTATATTAGCACTTCACACACATACACACGCACATAGCCATCCAATTATGTGTCGATATCTATTCCGGTAGTACTGGTACTCTTCAAATATTGATTTTAGCTCAGCGGTTTCAGGTTGCGTACGATTGTATGATTGCGCTTTTTTTCCAATGGTTCAATGTGAAGTGGCCATTCT